CCCCAAAACCCCAAAACCCCAAAACCCCAAAACCCCAAACTAAAATAATTAATTGAAAATGTTAGAAAGAATTAAGGGGGTATTTAGCAAAAAGAAAAAGCCAGTCGAGAAGAAGCTGGAAGAAGACAAAATTCCTGAGCCAGAAGATGACCTGAACACTTCATCAACTTCTCAAACATTTAGCAATTCAGAGAAAAGGCACTACCAGAAGTTGTGCCTACTCCTTTCAGAGCCAATGATTGATTTAAAATAAGTTACGATCAGAGGCTTGGTACGGGATACCTATGTGATATCCTCAGATTAGGAGTATTGTATGGAAGTTACTGCTAGGGTACTACTCTCCTAACCAAGAGTTCCAAGAGTCTTCTATTTCAAGAAAGAGGGAGGAGTATATTGACTGCTCCAGATCTTATTTCCCAAACCTTGCTTATTCGGAAGACCTTACTGAGACCAATTTGATTAGTGAAGACATGAGTATTTATGAGGTGGATTCTTTCAAACAGATTATTATCGATGTGAAAAGAACTCACCCTGGAGAGGCATTCTCATCTAAGATTTCTAAAAGTATGCTGACTCGTATACTCTTTGTATGGGCGTTTAAGCATCCTGCCAGCGGATATGTGCAGGGGATTAACGACCTTGCAGCCACATTTATGTATATTTTTCTTGCTGAAGAGATTGATAGAATAAACCGAGAGTCTGAAGGTAGAAAATCTGTAGATATCGACCTTGAACACAACGCTTATGATCTGAAGTTGGAGGATGTAGATTTGATAGAAGAAGAGAAAATTCAACATATTGAAGCTGATACTTACTGGTGCCTGGAAAACTTTTTGGAGACTTTACAAGAGAATTACACTGAGCATCAACCTGGAGTTCATAAAATTATAGCAAGGACTGAACAAATTGTAATGAAAAAGGACAAAGAGCTTATGGAATTCCTTGAAGCAGCAGATTACGTCCCGTCAAAATTCGTATATAGATGGGTTAACAATATTTTGAGCAGAGAGTTTAATGTCCAGCAATTGATAATGATATGGGATAAAATTATTGCTGAAGAAGAAGACATCACTACTTACCTTCCTTATGTATGAGCTGCACTTCTGTTGAAGTTCTCTGACTGCATAAAATCTTATGCAGAGAGACCAGAGGAGGTGATTCTCCTCATCCAAGATCTTCCCACTAGAGAGTGGGGTAATGAGGACATCAAAGTCTTGATGGCTGAAAGCTATCAGCTTCAATGACTTTATGAGTTCAACTCCCACTTGGAGGAAAAATAGATTTAGGATGATTTCAACAAGCGCTTCAAAGGTTGGGGTTTTGGGGTTTTGGGGTTTTGGGGTTTTGGGGTTTTGGGG